TTCAAAAGTTTTCGTCAATCCCATAAGAACTTCGGAAATACCCTAAAAAAATCGATTTTTGTCGTTTTTTCACCAAAATGTCGGTCAGTCGCATTTTAAGCGGCAACAAGCAATCGCTCTGATATTTCTACTGGTGATAGAGGACATCAAGTTCTGCCACCTAGGCTATCTCACTATTTTGGCCCTTGAGAAAAGTAAAGCACTTTTGATTAAAAGTCCGTTTTCTCTGTAATCCATGTTATATACTCAATTTAGNCAAAATTTCATCTAGCTGACAGGTCATTTTCATGAGTTGTTTTGTATGTTTTTCAAATATCATTAGTTTTAAAAGAATTTCGTCTTATACATTATCGAAGAAAAAGACGTGCCCGCTCCTCCTCTTTCGATTGGTGAAAACCGCAGGTAGCTAGGTATTGCGGTTGTCGAGTTATTGAGCTTACACTCACCCCTCTTTTATTCTGGCGCGGACATTAGTACTTGAAATGAATTCTAGTATTATGAATTTTGGTCCAACAATTTAGTTCCTTTTTGCATAGAACCTTAGTGATACATGACAATGTCGAGGAAATTAAGTGCATGCAGAACTTTTATTTTTAGATTTTAAGACATAGCTAAGTTATCTTAGCCTATCATTTATCCTGATCTGAACTATGACAACAAATGGGGAACTAGTAGTCGAAGACTCCGATATCCGCCTTCTTCGAGAAATGGGTTACACGCAAGAACTTTACCGTGGCTTTTCTCCATTTATGTCATTTGCTTTCTGCTTTACTACTGTCAATGTTTTCGTATCGATTACAATCGGATTTACTTATTCGTTGAACAGTGGTGGATCAGGTGTGACCATTTGGTCATGGATTATTGGGGCTATTTTTACTATTCTCATCGGTCTCTCTTTGGCTGAAATATGTTCTGTGTATCCGAGTGCCGGATCAGTCTATCACTGGTATGCTCATGGCCATTGTCCATCAATTGGTTGATAATAGAAGCACGTTTTTGTTTGATTTATAGGGCAGGTCAGTTAGTTTCCGCCAAGCATGCACCATTGGCTTCGTTCACTTGTGGTTGGGTCAATTTCCTTGGGAACGTTGCAGGTATGAAAACCAAGAAATAGTTAATACATTTGTTACTGCTAACATGTTGAAGGGGATGCTGCATTTTCATCCGGTTTTGCTACGATTATTAATGCTACGGTTATTCTCCAGGGGAATAATTCGCTGAGTATAGGTGCTCAAGTGAGCATTGGTATAGGAGTTACTTTTGTATGGGCTGCTATAAATGCGTTACGTATCGATCAACAAGGCTGGCTCAATAATCTTGCTGCTGTGTTTCAAATTTGTTCGACCATTAGCATTGTTATTGTGCTTCTTGTTGTGGCTCCTATACGAGCTACAGCCCATGAAGTTTTTACATCTACATACAATAGTACTGGATTTCCATTTGGATATGTGTGCTTGATTGGTATTCTTTCGACATTATTTTCATTCTCGGGCTATGAAGGTAATCATTGTGGATTTGAATATATATTAACTATCATTCTTGGATTTTTAAGCTGGTGCTCATTTGTCCGAAGAAACTAGACATGCTGGGCGTGCAGGTGAGTAAAAAATCTTTAAAAAAGTGATTGTTCTAGATGAGTGCATATAAATCGGCAAGTTCTTTTCATTTTTTAGTACCAAAAGGAATCGTAGGCACTTGTGTATGTGGTGCCATCACCGGCTTTGCTTACACACTTGCTCTACTTTTTGCTATTCCGGATGTGGAGTCGTTTGTGGCGAATAACAGCGGTGACAATGCTGTGTCGAATCTGGCTATTGCTACCTATCAGCTTGTTTTATCGCATCAAGGTGCACTTGCACTAACGATTTTGATCATTCTCAATTTGTTCTTGGCCGGCATCTCAGCATTGACAGTGACCAGTCGAATTGGGTATGAATTAATCATTCATTTTTTTATCGGTTTTCTTAACCAACGATATGTCATTGGTTCTAGTTTTGCCATGGCTCGTGATGGTGTATTTCCATTCTCGACCTATCTCCGTTTGATATTCAAGTTGACAAAAACTCCATTAATCAATGTGCTTTTTATTTTCGTTCTTGATTCTCTTCTTCTCCTACTTCAATTAGTATCGACAACTGCTTTCAGTGCTCTCATCTCTATTGCGACAATCGGTTATCAAGCATCCTATTTTATGCCTATTTTCTTTCGATGTACAACTGCCCGACGCAGTTTTGTGCCTGGTGAATTCAGTTTAGGCCCATTCAGTTTACCTGTTGCTATAATCTCATCTATATGGCTTTTTATCACAACGATATTCATGTTCTTTCCCGCCCAATATCCAGTTACAAGTAGTAATATGAATTATGCTGTAGTAGTCGTCGGTGGTCTAGCATTGATTGTGGGAACCTATTGGATTTTTTTCGCTCGTCATTGGTTTGTAGGCCCAAAGAGAACCCATATGGATTTTGTTGACTTATCGCCACATCAAGAATCCATGAACGACAATGTGACACCATTACCATCGCCCAGTATCGTTCATATTCGATTGTAAGCGTCAGTACGATTTCCAAATGTATTTTAGCAGTAATCGTGAAAAAAAATTGATTTACTCAGAAATTAGAGATTGGAAAAAGAAAATCGGTTTGTGACTTTTTTCGCTGATATATCATAGAAACGTTTCAGGGTTTCTCTTGAGCTACTATGCAACGCTTGTTGAATGCAAAACGTGACAAGACATGAATGCCTCGAGTGAGACACTCTCAGATGTGTCTCATTGCAATCAGGATATCTATAGGTACATCCCAGGTTGAGAAGTACGAGCCGATTTCCGCAGGAAAACACGGGAAATCACCGGAACTCATCGGGAAAAAATCAGAAAAGTTTCCGACCAGAATACTGCTTCCATGTTCTGGTGATTTCCCGTGTTTTCCTGCAGGAAACGGCGATTTTTCCTCATTTTTCCTGCCGGTTTCTGGAGTATCCGATGGCCGAAATGATCGACCATGGATGTATCACCTACACTGAGTTTATTCGAAAACTTTTCAGTCCATCTTGGCTGATCATTCACATTCTCAACTCAGAAAGGATTTGTTTGATTTTGGAAGAGAAAAGAATCAGTCTATTTGTTCTATTCTGAAAGGTATCTGCAGACCGAACTACAGATCTGATCGTTCATTTGTGGTCTAGGAAGAAAGATTCGCAGGATCATATGAATATACTGCCTTGACCAGAAGGGTGTGGGTTGTGGATGTGTATGCGTGGATGGGATGTGGGTGGGGGTGAGGTGTGGTTGTGGATCTTCTATTCCGCTACACCCCCACATACAAAATAACTTTCATATGTGATTTTTGCAGCTATCACGAACACAATCATAGCTATTGTTTCGACTCGTGCATGTTGAAATATATCATTAACGAGTCGATTTGAAGGTCTTTCGAATAATCCTAAAACGTTCAATAATGCTTTCTACAGTAAGACTGCATTAGGAATGAAAAGAAGGAAAACTCGGCCGACGTAAGTAATATCAACTCAAGAAATGTGCACAATATTACTTAGCTTGTTCTGATTATGAGATCGTTTTCGTTGTAAAACTAATCTACAGAGAGTAAAAAGCCAGATTCACATTATTCTATGTCCTGTAGAACAGCCGACGTGTCAAAGCCATGATCGAAACTTAATTTTAGGAGTCAATGCTCTACTATAATTTTATTTGCTTATAAAGATTTATTTTGACATTTCATGACATCTTTTGCACCGTTTCGTTACGATAGTGACTACTCTTTTAGATGCAATAAAATATTTTGGATGATTCATGATATCTATTAGTTGATTTACAATAATATACTCATTTTCTTTTTGGTCATTATCAAGAATATACTTGAAAAGGGTGGGATGTGGGTGTGGGTGTGAAGTCGACCGACACCCACACCTGGACTTATACCCACATCTACACACCACGGACACCCACGCCCACAATCCTTCACACACTATCTTATATCGGCAACCTCTCTTCCTAGTGAAATGATGGCTAGGAGTCCAACCAGTTGGATCTTTTTTGCACCACAGTATTAGGATCTACGACGATGAGATGTCAATATTCTTTTCACCGAAGCGCGCATTGACACTCTCAAAAATCAAAATTTGATAAATCGGGAAACATGAAAAGTGAAGCATCTAATTTTTGCATAAGAAGACACATAGCTGGTTTAGATAGACCTCAAAGACTTTTCTTCTCCTTTGTGGTAGACAGACTTGAAGACTTCTATATGCTTACTAATACGTGCATGGTGTTGCTCATGTGAATAATCCACTAAATGGTGACTTGGTCTGCTATCTATTATAGATTTAACTACACTTTCGTCAAGGTCGCAATCCGTTGCAGTCATGCATTTAAATATAGCTTTTGCAACTTTACAAACTTATCAACCTCGAGCTTTTTTGAATCAGATGCCAAGCATTTAAAGCTGCCTGATGAGTCCGCTGAGAAAGGAGAAAATCGATCATGGCATTCTGGAAATATTACGTACCCACTTGATGAAATCCGTAGCGATACAGAAACATGTTGTCGTGATCTGGCTTACATATGTCCATGCACATATCCAGACACGATATTTACTTCGTTACTGTAACTGGGTACTAAATTTATTACTCTCCTTGAGAAAACTAACTAAACATGCAGTAAATGTGAGAGATTTAAGTAGAGGCGGCGAAGTTTTTACAGCTAGCGAAATGAGACACACCAAGTAGCTGCTGAAAAAAAGCAATTAGTTTGAAGGGATCTTAACACCGGTTTTTTTATCATCAAACATGTCGCCAATGTTATTAACAACTGTATCACGAGTTCCTAATTGACCGGGTTGACCATTAAGCCAGTTCCATTCAATAAATTTAATTAAACTCGACGGTTCCATTTGAACATGTGAAGCATAATTTCGTTTAATTTGATGTCCGATAGCAACAAATGGTATCCTAGCGCCATATGGTTGATTATCAATTGTGCTTCATGGTGGTGGAGATACATGATCATAGAAGCCACCACTTTCATCTGGAAGCAAAAATATAACAGTATTTTTTCTGTATGTATTCGATGCTGTTATAGCATTAATGACATCTTGTGAGATTATTTCACCGGCTGTTAGTGTACTATAATTGGGATGTTCACTATGAATACCTAATCCTTTGACATAACTAACAGCTAGAAGTTTTCCAGCTCTAATATCAGAATACAAATTGGTATAATCTCTGAAATTTTGGGAATAACGTTCTGAAGAATTTATCAAACTTGGAAAATACGTAAATGGATTGTCAGCTGCATCGTAATAATTTGGATAGCATTGAGTACTGTTTGGATTTTGATCATACCCTTCAGCATAGAATGTCCAATGGATACTACAGTAGTTCAATAAATCTGCGATCGTTGTACTATAATAACTTTTGAAATTGGCTTTATAACAACATGCGCCATTCAGATTAGGATTTTGTGAAACTACACTATTGTCCAAAAATAAGAATTTACCTGTCGCAAAATACATATCGTTTTCAGAACTGGCACCAACAGCAGATTGAAAGAAATTATCAGCTATCGTATATGAGCTTGCCCATGAATAATAACCTCTTGCACTTGTATTATCGGCAATAACAAAATTGGACGAAGTTGAGCAAGAACACCCAGTAACATATCGATCCATTAAACCGTTATCTATTTCACATATTTGGCAAGAGGCCCTATTATTGGAACCGTACAAAATATTTTGTTGATCGGTTAAAGTTATGGGAGATGATCCAGTTAAGAGTGGCTCAGATATTGCGTAAGCAGATTGTGGTGTAGATGTCAATGATAGACTATTGTGGTAATCAAAAAATTCGTAATTTTGTTAAAGACATTGTCCTATCCTCTTCCGGATGGAAAAACGCTTTTGATATCGAACATTTTAGCTATGAATAGAGATGTTCAACTCTTATCTATCGAGCTTCACGCAAACAAGAGGACTTCATTTTCGTTCAGGCCCTAACCACGTTAGACTTTGTGGACTTCTGTCTCAAAAACCATGGTCCAAATCTTTTGGCTGCGCAAATGATCTATGCTAAGCGATTTACTTCATCGCCAAAGTGTGTTGCGCGGACCAAAGATATATCCTCCTAATCGCATTCCAAACGCAATACTGGATAAGCATACGTGAGCAGCTAGAAATTCTAAAATAGTGCATTCACAGGATTCTATGTTCTTTCGTGTTTTACTGAAAATAAGTTCTTGAAGAGAAAGGCTGAAGTTCTCCTCTTTTTTTTTTGATCCTGCGGCCCATTAGTCTGAAACTTTATTGTGTCAATTTCAATCAAATCAGGTGTATAAGTACCTTGTGTGAAAAATATTGCTCGTTTCTTGTGCTCGGCTTTTAAAAATGTAAATCAATCGAAAGATACGGAAAATCAAGCATTTTCAGGGTGTTCTCACTAATTAGATTCTCATATTCAAGGTTTCAATGTTTTTTAAGAGAAATCCTACACATTAATCCGGCTCTATTTGCTAAAAAATGCTTTCCAAAAGAGCATGAATTTTGGTACATCGGGCGGAAAAACTCCAGGGAATTTTTTTTCCTTCTATCCTAGGTCTCATGGAAGGTAGCATCCAGGAATTTTAAGCCTATGGCAATTTTTGTCTTACTCATTGATGTTTATTTGCGATGAAATGTTCAGAAGTATTTATTACTCCGTCTTGATGAGACTCGGTAAAATGTTGCTCTTAAGAACACATCACGTTTACGTGACTGGTTAAAACAAACTCTCAGGTGCATCTAAATCCTAAAACGTGTCTACGTTACAGTATCCACAAATACTCCACATATAAGCACGGCAGCTATTGCAAATATGACATTTTACGTCTATGACATGAGATAACTTTCCAAAGTAACTCCTAGAATGGATAGAAATAATTCTTTTATAATAATCTCATCGACATTTGGTTCACCTTATGCGTTTACATACTGGTTTTGGAGAAACTATTTCATAGATCTATATTTTTCGTTACTGTTATATAAAAAAGAATAAGACGCTATCTTTTACGAAAGAGTAGTTACAGCTATGGATGCGCAAAAGCGGTAGCATTAAGTTTGAAAAGGCTCTAACGCCAATGCTGCGAAATCTAATAAGAATTGATAATATGCGTAGAAGCAAAGCACGAACCGCTATCCTACACTAGTTTTGATCTCATTATCCTTAAGCACATGTTATAGTTCTACACATCCTGAACACAACTTAAATTCAAGATTTGGCGAAAAGGTAAGGTTACAGGTAAAGTGAAGATACCAGAGTGGCGAATAAAAGTTTAGAGTATCTTTTGTTCACCAATCTTTTTTGTGAAGAACAACGTGTTAATGACAACTAAGTAATGATTTTTATAGCTCTCGGCAATGGCTATAAGCCTAGTGTCAGAATTCGTTTATCAATCTTTCTCAAATATTAAGAGAGGGTCCATATAGCCATCGAGAACCACGCCAGATACCGACGCACTCATCAAAAATTTTTTTTTTGCTTTAATATTCTCATCTTGTTCAGCACCATCGAAAACCTCCAAATCCAAATTTTTAGTGCATTTGGATGAGCTGGTGAAAAGTTAGCTTGATTTTACTGGCGAACGCTCACAATGATATTTGAAAAATATCATCAAAAATCATTCGTATAAAGTGGAGATTTTTTCGATAACACTAAATTAATGAAATTCGGGTGTGGGTGTGCGTTCGGGTGTGGACTATCTCTTCACCCACACCCTTTACGACAATCAAGTCGGAGACAAAGGAGCACAACATCTCGTTGATATATTAGTTAAGGATGCATGGGCAGTATCGGTTTTCGGCAGGTTATTCTGGAGACTGTGTTTTTTGAAAGCGCACGGTGAACAGTATGTCGTTACTTACTGTTTGGCGAGTATGTAGGAGTTACTGATGTTATTTCGTGCCATTTGTGAGGCTTTTAAGATAGTATGGAGTTGGGATTGTTGTAAATCGGTCGTTTGTTTGCGTAGAGTTGGTGAGAAATTATGTGTGAACAGTATGATTTTGAAAGGCTGAATAACGTTCACGTGGATTTCTCACGGAGATTGATTATTATCTCACTTCTCAGTTGGCAGATTCGGATGGACTTTCGAGTTGCCTTGTGCATCGGTGTGCTGCATAGCTTATGCTACTGGATATGAAACTGGAATTGGACGACGAAGGAAGATAATTTTTCATATTGCTCATGTTATCTGAATGTTAGGAATCAGTATCGGTACTCCGGATGAAGTTTTGCATTGCAGGAAAATGTTTGGTGCAATAGAAGGTGTGTGTGAGAGTGTGGTTTTCAAATGAATACTACACCGACACTCACCACCTATGCCGGATCCTTGATGGATAATTTTTGCTGTATTTTTTTATTTAGAAATGATTTCTAATTATCATGTGTATTCAAATATTTCGCCACATCACTTGATTACTTCATTAATGAACGTATGAATAATCTTTCCGCAGGTATAACTGATACGATAGATTTTGAAGGTTAAACGAAGAGGCACAAAATGTTTTTCATAAAAGAAATAATTAGCACACCATAAGGTATTTATTTATTTGTTTTCTCGCGTTTGCAATAGTATCTTTTTGAGACTGACCGAAGACAAAAAAACTCTTTTTCACATCAGAAATTATTCGAAAATTCAGTGCTAAACATCGTATAGTATCGATAGTTCGATGAATATCTCTTTTTTTTTATAATGAGTATGACATGTAACTGATCATCTGTAAATTTACTGTTAATAAAGAACAATTGAGATTCAAATTTTATTTTTATGTTTAAGAAAATATAGTGTTCTCAAACCGAATGATTACTAATTTGTTTTAAAAAATTTTCCCCTTTTTCCTTTTTTTCCCTTATTTTTTCGATTTTTAGTCCTGCACAAGCCAGAAATATTATTCTTATAGTAAACAAATTGAAGAAGTCAATATTTTATATGAATTTGATTTAGTTGACATTATATAGTATCAGCTGTTTGATAATTATCTCTTGTCTTTCTATATTAAGAATAAAATGTAACTGATCATCTATAAACGTATGGATAAACAAAACCATTCAAGTTTAGCTTTTATAATTATTATCTTTAATAAAAGACAATAAACTATTCTAAACCAATATGATCACAAATGACATTTTATACATTTTTTTTAACTATCATTTTTTCTACTTTCACTCTGCATCATCTTGACTCTAATAATGGTTTAAATAAAAAAAGCTACTGACCTCTACATCTCAAAGTTACTATATATTTTAAATCGAAATGATAAAATTTCCGATTTCACTACTCTGCACCAGTTGCTACTACGATCAAGTTCAAGTGTGTATAATAATTTAAATTTAGAAAATCGAAGTTTAATTTTGTTTGACACACATCTCCAGACAACCACTAGACTTATTAATAATGGATAAGACAGTTAAAATTCGAAATTCATATCATCAAACTTAGGAAAGCACAAAAACAAAACTCCACCCACACTCAACAACTACGTATAAACATCTCCAAATCCACCTTCCATTCACACGAATAAATCACAACGAATTAAAATTCAAACTATTTTTTTCTCTCAAGTCATCTTCACAGCAAGACTCAACCGAAAAACCTAACTCTTCAGTCACGCATCTTTTACTCTAAGAAAATCAAGACATTTTATTCTCTTCTTCAGGTGAAATGCAAAATGACAAAAAAAAACTAAATCACAAATTCAATGCAAAATTTTCGTTTTTTCAATAATGATATTTCAAAATCAACGTATCTTATTTTTTTTCCTTCCTTATTTCGTTTTATCAATTCGTCCAAACAAGCTATAAGCTCCTTCCCCATTTGATTGTATCTGAGCTCTAGTGTGGTGAGTGTCTGTGTGAAAAAGTGGAGATGGGTATATGAGAGAGATGAAGAGAGACTGAGGATCACGGTGTTCTGTCGTAATGCATCAGCCAGATGTTGTGCCCCTACAGCTCCGATTTGATTGTTGTAGAGATCTGGTGTGGTGAGTGTCTATGTGAAAAAGTGGAGATGCGTATATGAGAGAGACGAAGAGAGAATGAGGGTCACGGTGTTCTGTCGTAATGCAATTTAGAGTATGAAGACATTTGTTTTACTAAGTGTTTGTATATTACATATAGATGTATATATGCATAAATATGTGTATATAGATAAATATGTGTTTGGTGTGTAGCGCACTCTATATAATTTCTTATGTGATTGTTCACAGAATTTTCTAATATAACGGATAGAAAGCGGAAGAAAGGAGTCATTGTTCAGAAAACCATGTAAAAAACTAGTCGCCTCTCGGTGGAGGGGGTGAGTACCCTGATTTTCCCTTCGTTTGGTATATATGGCACCTAAAAACCGTTGATTATTCGCGTATCAAATAATGATATGATTGTAGTTTAAATTTTCTTGTGTTTTGTTTTATGCTCTTTGTAATGGTAAAAGATATGCTAGCGTTATCTAAAATAGTTTCATATGTATAAATAATGTTTGACAGTTTTTGAGAATAAATTATCAATGAACTTTTGGTGAAACTTTATTATAGAAAATTTTTGAAATATTAGTGCATGGATGATGGTGCATAAATCTGCTGCACGATAAAATTGGTTTTTGAAGGAAGTTATAGATTAACCTTAAACTACAGTTTTTTTATAT